CCAGCCAGAAAGATGTGGATGAGGGTGGTCTCACTGAACCCAAGCCCCCGGACTGCCTCAAGAAGATCTTCGGCGTAGATGCCAAAGGGGCGATGGTTCTGCCTGTGAGACAGTCCTCTGGCTGGGGGTTGGTCGATGGGTCCTTCTTGCTGGGAGCAAGCTGGGCGCAGAAATAGTCCCATTTCCGCTGAGTCCTCTTTTTGGTCAGTTCGTACTGTCAGGGTTGGTGATGGGAAATGGGGAAAAAGGAGCGAGGACTCAAATGCAGGGAAATGGGATTTTATTAAATAATAAAAATAAAATAAAATGCAAAATAAACTACCCCGAGGGGGAAAACATTAACAAAACAAATACATACACATACAAACAGGACTGAGCAGACTGGCAAGGATGAGGACTGGAAACACAACAGGACTAGACTTCAAACGACGAAATGTGATGACGAACTGACACAGGACAGCAAAAGTGAGGGGTATATAAACTGTAGAAAATTAACACACAAACAGGTGAACACAATTAACTAATAATGGGTTAACAAGGAGGGTGGGACAGGACAATAGACGGGAGAGCGCATGACACAGAGAGACAATACAAGCCATGCGCTCACATAACACAACAAGAACATGCAGCCAATGAGAGAACTCATTAACCGCATGTTCATGACAACAAACACAACACTGAAGCACACGACAAAAGCACGTGACCACAATGTAAACATCGAGCCACGTGCTTTGACAAGAGACGCAAGACACGAGCACACGATGAATGAAAACTCACCATGCGCTCACATATGCAGCATGCATGCTTCATCCCAGCGCCGACCAAAACCGAAACCAACAAGGCTGAGACGCTGGGAATGAAACACCATGCTGCTGACAGACGAAAACACAAACACGAGTACAAGAGCCCACGCGTCTGAGGGACGCAGAGCGCGCACGCGGCCACGTCAAGCAGGAGCGCGCACACTCTGCGTACACCCACGACGGCGCGCGCACACAGAGACAGAAACAGGACCAGACATGAGTAGCGTCAAAGATCTGCCACCAAAACAAGAATTTACAAGATCAGAGTGGCAGAACCCTGACACCCATTTTCTGATGCTGTTTTAAATTAATATATTGCTTCTTAATTGAGAGGTAATATATTATATTTATGGTATAAGTTATGATCAGTAAAAGAAAATATTGTTATTGTAAGATCATGCATAAAACATTAAAAATAAGTAAGCCTTAATTACTTATCCACATTAACTTCCATAGTAGATAGAATTTCAATGAAAGGCATTAAGGGCAAGAAACTTTTTGGTAAGCCCACATTCTTTAAAACATCTTTAAAGCAAGAAAGGCAATAAATGATACCAGAATCTTCTTTTTTTTACTTGAACTTTAATTCCTAGTGTGGGCGACATGGTGGCTCAGTGTTTAACTCCGTTACCTCACAGCAAGATCGCTGGTTTGAGTCCTAGCTGAGCCAGTTGGCATTTCTGTGTGGAGTTTGCATGTTCTCCTCGTGTTGGCGTGGATTTCCTCCGTGAGCCACAGTCCAAAGACATAAGCTATAAGTGAATTGAATTAACTAAATTGGTTATAGTGTATGAGTGTGAGTGAGTGTGTATGGGTGTTTCCCAGTACTGGGTTGAAGGTGAAAGTGTATCCGCTGTGTAAAACATATGCTGTATAAGTTGACATTTCATTCAGCTGTGGCGACCTCTGATGATTAAAGGAACTAAGCCGAAGGAAAATTAATAAGTTCTAGTTTTTAGGAATCACAAACTTGTTTTACATTAAGGATTTAACTTGTTATGCAGGCATTAAAGCTCTTTTGAGAGTAAAACGTGTCATAATTTGGTCATCTAATGCACTGCAGTGTGTTTTAAAATCTTTTTAAAAGTATTTAAAAAGTTCAGCAAATAAAGTTTACAGCATGCACTTACGCTATGCAACACGTGGGGGCAGTAGAGACATTCATGGACCATCACTATGGTAAACGCCAAAGATCTACATATTATTCAGGCTAATGAGGAATCTGTATGCTATGCAAGTACATAAGAAGACTAAGAAAAGACATTAGTGATCATCATAATGAAGCTTAAACAACATATAACAATTTATTTTCAAATTATGGCACAATAGAAAGTAACCCATTAAAAGTGTTTTGAGAATCTGGGAACGTTTGAGGTCCAAATGTACACCTAATTTTAAGGGAGGACTCTTTTTTTTCACTATTTGTTTTTGTTTAGTTACTCACCAGGTGCTTCTTCCATCTCCAGAAATGGCTCTGACACTGCAGTTTCTATTGAAAACAAAATGCAGAAAGCCTATTCAAGTCAAAGCTATTTCCATACATTTCCCCACATAACGAACCTATATGAATATATATGCGCATATATGAAACCTATATGCAGTATATATGCAGCATATATGATATTATATATGTTGCATATATGTGTGTATATATGCCACATATAGGCAAAATTGAGGTGCATATATGTGCATTTACAGGCCATATAATAGTGCTCTTGTATTGCTTCTTTATATCCACATATAAGTCCTATATGTACATATGATATGAACATATGTCTCCTATATAGCTCATATCTAACTGCGGCACCTGTCATACATGATGTCTAGCTCACATTTTCTATTATAAAGGCAAATGTATGTATGTATGTATGTATGTATGTATGTATGTATGTATGTATGTATGTATGTATGTATGTATGTATGTATGTATGTGCGAACACTTGATATCAGCATCACATGTAATTGGCATGTTATGGAATTTAATTATGGCAAATAAGTGAGAGGAGATGGAAAGCCATGATGTCTACACAATTTCCTGAAACATTTATGTCTTTTTTCTATTCAGCTTTTTGTCTTATTTTTGTTCTTGGGCTATATTTTTTTCTTGTAGTATTTGATTGTTCTTAAAGGGGTGGTCCAGAATGTTATTTTTAAGGCTTGGTTGTGTTAATAAGATGCAAAGCAATGTGTGCTCATGTTTAACTTGAAGGAAATCGTGTTATTTTTTCATAAATCTCACTTTGATTATACACAGCTACTCAGCTAACATGAAAACGACTGTCATATTTCCTAGTTCCTCTAAAAGGCCCACCCTCAAGTGACTCTGATTGGTCATCATCATAATATGCTGTGATACGCCGATCGGCTTCACGTCACGCCCTGACAAGCACGCGCGTTTTGTGTAAACAGTCAGTCAGTCAGTCAGTCAGTCAACACGTGTCTGTAACGAGTGAAAATGGGATGCGGCTCCTTTAACTGTTTCTGTGCCTTTTAGTGTGTTTATGCGTGTATACGATGAAGTATTTGTAACACGAGAAGCGCATGTGCGCGGGAGAGATTTTTATTGTTCTTTTTCTCTCATGCTCGGATTAAGTTATTTTCTATGGTGACAGAATAAAGCACAAGATGTGAGATGAGACCTTTGTGAGCCTGGATTGATTTGTTTTTGATGTTACACTCCAGTTGGGAAATCATTGCTGTATTTTTTTTAAATCAATGCGTTACAGGACGTCTTTCATGCATATGCGGAATATGCCTGTGTAAGTAACATGAATCGTTCACATATCTTTTGCGACTTTATTGTCCGAGTTGTAAAACGCATAGCATAGCTGCCTATAGAGAGAAATTCTGCCGTCTTACACAGAGAGACGCAGGTGCTGGCCAAGAGTGCGTGTATGTGTATGTGTGTGTGTGCGTTTACAGCCGTTTGATAAATATGGATTTGTAACGTTAGCTAAGTCGTTAGCGGTTACCATAATTTCCCGTTGTTTACATCTTTGCTACAACACACCGTTAAAGTTAGACACTGTACATGTCATGATCAATTTTAACAAATAAAAACACTTACAGGTCATGACTCAGAGTTCACAGCGTCTCCTTGATCCATCTTTGAGGAGATTTTAACTGAATCCAGCACTGAACTGGGAGAGATTCTGGAAGCTGTGTTTTGTCAAATCATGCTTGCTATGTATTTTATAGTTCTCTGGAACATAATTAATATTGAACTGTAAGCACTTCTGTGTTTGGGTCGTGTCATTTGGAAGCCCAACAACAGAAACAGAACAGCTCTGTGGAAACAGCAGGATGGCATTTCTCTCTCTGCAGTAACGTTACAGCGCCTCTGGCCACGGCCTTTACCTGCGCAGTGTGGGATGCGCAATAACGAACTTTTGTGATCTCACAGGGGGCGGAAGTATTTTTTGTAGTCCCCAAAATTCGTTAATTGTAGGCGTTGCTAAGCTAACTCTGTACAAATCAAGGTCTCCCTTTGCATTAAACTTTGAATATTTTACATTCAGAGATGCTGTTTATGTTCACACAGATACATTACACATCAACTGAAGTTTAAAATATAATATCGTAGTGGACCACCCCTTTAATTAAATATAAAAATGTAAATTTCTACATTTTGGGCTTTTATTTATGTTGTCTAGCAGCGATGGATTTTAACAATTTATTAATATATAGGTAAACATATAGGTGAACATATTGATGGACATTTATAGGTACATGTATGCACGTATATATGTATACATATATGCACACATGTGCATATATGTACATATAATATATGAAAACAGCCAATTTTATATATGTAACATATATTAAAAACATATAAAAATAAAAAAATAAAAACATATAGGTTAGTTTCGTGTGGGTAAATTTTAATCACTGGGTCTCATTTTCTTGCCTGAAACTAATATCTCCACAAAAATTAGGATCCAGCTACTTTCCAATAAAAAGTAAATCTAAATTTATGAAAATCTTGAATATGAAAACACATATGCAAACATCACAGATTAATTAATCTCATAACATGCAGTAAGCATCATAAAGTATTTTTAATGAGAGATATTGTTAATATGCTACAGAGGAATGTGGATCTCATTCGTTTTCCTTAGGCTTTTTCCCCTTTTTATCAAGGGTTGCCACAGCGGAATGAACCGCCAACTATTCCAGCATGTTTTAAAAAGCAGGTGCTCTTCCAGCCGCAACCCAGTAGTGGGAAACACCCATACACTCTGGCATTCACACACACACACATTTATTCACTACAGTCAATTTAGTTTATTCAATTCACCTATAATGGCAAACTCCACACAGAAATGCCAACTGGCCCAGCTGGGACTCAAACCAGCGACCTTCTTGCTGTGAGATAACAGTGCCGCTGGAATGCAGATCTATTTATTCAAATTACTAACCTATGACATGCAGGAACTAATTTTAAATACTCAAAATTCATTAAAATGTCAACTAAGTTAGGAGCATGAGCGGACTCACATGCTATGCATTAGCCAGATATGTTTTTTTGTTCTACTCTGCATAGATATGAAATTATTCATGCAGTGATTACTGAATGAGAGCTACTGTCTTGGTTTTATTGTGTGTTTGAGATGGTAAATGTGTTTTTGTGTTTGGGTAATCTGATAGGTCACAGTCTCCTGCTGTTTGTGTGTAACCTACGGGTCGTAGCATGTAGCTATTTTGCTAAGCGTACGTAACCTGCAGGGTCGTAGTTTCACCACGTGGGTGTTTGTGTTTGTAACCTTTTGGGTCACAGTCTATGTGTGGATGTTTGTGTGTGTGAGGTTTCACTTTCCTTATGAGGACTTTAGTGTCCCACTGTGACAGTAAAACTAGAAATGAACAACATTACAGAGACCTCCCAGTATCTGTTATAAAAGCAGCTTAATAAAGAGAGTAAATAATGGCTTAATTAAAATCTAAAAATACCTTAAGGTCTCTCAAAGGAGCTGGGAGTGGAGTGTTATGGTTAAGCTAACATAATTAGCTCAATATTAAAATGATAGATGGTAATGACAGGCTATCAAATGTAAATGTATGTGCTTGAATATAACCTGTTGTGTCGTAGTCTGTCAATGCATCACTATGGCAGTTTCCATCATCATCATCGCAATTCTCTGCCGTTGTTGGAAAAGTGGTAGTTGTTGGGATGTTTCCTAGTAGCATACTAGCGCTAGTGACTGTAGCTGCTGTAGTCTCCATAGTAGTGGCAAGAGGAAGAGGTGTTGTGGGCTCTGAAACGAGACCAAGAATATATAGATATTTTAGTTATCTGATGTTTTTACAAGTAATATACCATTATACATATTTATGGTAACCCTTGTGTGCTGTTGGGGGTGTTTTTATCCACTCTGGGGTGATTTTGAGTCTTAAATTGGCCACAAATTTCCAATCTTATTTGACCAATCTTATTTTGACGCATATTTTGAGAAAACTATTTTAAACAAATTAAATTATTCAACAATACACATACAAATTAGCCCTTTCATTATGTTTGTGACAGTTTTTGCCCCATTGACTTCCATTATAATGACATTTTTTGATTACAAAGCCATGACACCGTACAAGCATGCATTCTTGATTGTTGCTGGTTTTCCCTGTTGGGAGGAGTTACAATTTTTAATTATTACTTTTCTTGATATGTCTGAGAAAATCAAAATAGGCAGCTCAGCTATCAGAACACAGTAAGTGTATTTATGCACACACACACAAACACACACTATGGGCTCTATTTTGACGATCCATACGCAAAGTCCAAAGCGTAGGAAAACGCATTAAGGGCGTGTCAGAATCCACTTTTGCTATTTTAAGGACGGAAAAATCTGCTTCGCGCCGTGGCGCATGGTCTAACAGGGTTGAGCTTATTCTCTTAATGAGTTATAGATGTGTTTTGAAGATAAACCAATCAGAGTCTCATCTCCCATTCCATTTAAGAGCCAGTTGCGTCGAGCCATAGCGCATTTGCTATTTACATGATAGACTTTGTAAGTGGAAAAACTGAGCGTTTTACTGTAAGAAAACAGTCAAACAGAGCATCTACAGCAGGGGTCTCAAACTCAATATACCTGGGGGCCAAATTCTGGGTGAGGCTGGGCCGCATAAGGGATTTCACAAAAAAAAAGTCCTCAAATGTCATTATTAACAGTTTTAATTATTTCTTCTGAACATGAAGTGTCCTGAACATTAATAGAACATTGAGTGAAGATTATGAACAGTTCTTCTGAACATGGCATCTTTTGCCTAATTCTTGCTGCCAGAGACTGGACAGCGCTTCTTCTCACAAATCTGAACCACATTTGGCTTTAGAGCGGAAGCAGTTGAGACCCTCAGTATGCCTTGAAGATGATCATCATTAAGTCTAGACCTGTCTAGACTCACTCAAAACTTCCATTCCCTCACCTAAAAAAAAAGGCGTATACATGTATAAATAAAACACCCCCACCCCACTCCAGTCACATCAGTCTGTACCAGTCTGTATCTACCTATAATATATATAAGATGCAGGCTGTAGCTGGGTAGGTGGCAGGCTGCAGATAGGTAGCTAAGTGGCAGGCAGGGGCGGGGACAGCTTACCTTGGTTCTGGCCGGCGTGAGTTCCCTCCTAACACTTCCCGCCCGTCACAGCGTCTAACAAAGGGGCGGGGTGCATGGTGACGTCACCGGCATCCCCGCCCCTTTGTTTACACGACGGGCGGGGAATGCCAGTGAACGCAGTGTACGAATAGAATCAGCAGAGCGGGGAGCGCTCTCTCTCCCTCTCAGTGTCAGCTCTCTCTTCTGTCAGTGTACAGCGGTCGGCGCGGGCCACAAAATATTGCACTGAGGGCCACAAATGGCCCGCAGGCAGCGAGTTTGAGACCCCTGATCTACAGCGTGAGAATGAGAGATGAGCCTCCTCATTCTTTACTTTCACTTTCACTCTCGTAGATAGGGAAACATGTTGTACTCACAGACATCCATTAGCCTATACATAAATAATTTTGTTTGTTAAGCACAAAGATTTGTTTCAAAACTATTTCTAAATTTAGTTCTGATTTCCAGCAAACGAATAAATGAACAACAATAACAAAGTGTGGCCAAAAAACGAAGTTATATCCAAATGCACATGCGGTGCCCCATATGATCTAAAGCCTGAAAGGTGGACAAATCTAAGCTTGTTTTTAATAAAACAAATATAAATATGCATATAATAAATAATACTGCCACTAATAATAATTTTATACAAAAGCAAATTGTCATAAATAAACTAAAAAAGCCCCCCGAGATGTACAAGCACTTTGAACATTCTATAGTAGTTGCTCAAAATAGCAACGCACCAACAATGCGCCTCAACACGTCCCCTTTTTTAGACCAGAACGCCTATGGGCGCACATATGAGTGCAAAAATGCATTTGCTATTTAAACAGCGTGCTGCAAAACGTCAAAATATTTCTTGCGCCAAGCTGAAACTAGCAAACAACAATTGCGTCGCACCTTGCGCTGCATTGCGCCGGGTGTATGATAGGGCCCTATAATCTGCTGTTTTACTCCATAGAACTCTATATAAAACCCAGAAACTTAAAATTATACAAGCCTATCTAAAGGGTTAACGCTGCCAACTGATGATCAACAGTAAAAATAACACACTCTACCTCTTCCCAACAGGGTAAACCAAACACAATCAAGAATGCATGATTATATGCTGTTATAGCTTTGCAATCAAAAATGTCATCATAATGAAAGTCCAAAATGGTCCAAAAACAGATACAAACAAAAGGATAACAAAAGGGTAGTACATTTGAACAATACACAAGGGTTAATTGAGTGTGGACGATTTGAGCTCTGTGACTGGTTGGTTTGGCAGTCACTCACCTTGCAGGTCACACCCTAAAACCTCCAGTCGTAATCCCATGCCATCGGGAGAGCCACGCTCAGGGTAGATACGCAGGAAACGCATCAGCACTGGATCAAATGTACGCACTTCTGGCGTGTCATGGTTTTGATTACCTATAAACACCTTGATGTGTGAGAAAAGTATTGTTAGATAGTTATGTATATCTGCTGAAAATAAATAAAACACAAACATACATTTCTTGTTCTTAGGGCCTGTTCACACCATGAATGCTAAAAAAAACACAATATAATTCTCATAAATCAAATCAAATGAACTGATCTAAATCTAATGATGAGTAGCTGTTTCACAGTTTTCAATTATTTTTACTTTTGACTTTAATCACAACAATCAGAAAACAACAAACTGTGCTATCTGATTGATCTCAGCATGGGAAAGTAGAGTAGGCTTGCAGAAAATACTGTTTAAAAAGATGGAATTTTAAAGGTGCCATAGAGTGTATTGATTCAATATGTTAATGGTCCCATGAAGTGCTTTGAAATGTGTATTTTTTATTTTAATGCTTGAAGTAATCTCAACTAAGAAATAATTTGAAAGCGGGACATAAAATAGCTCCTCCCCTTTACAAAAACAGCCAATTGTGTTTTGTGTTTATCACAGCTCTGCCAGTGAGAGTGGTTGAGCTCAAGTGCATCCAATGAAAAGCGAATGGACAGCGTCTTGAAGAGGGCGCGGCAAGCCAGATGCTAAAGAGCATTTGATTGATCAAGTTTATTGAGAGTGACGTGAAAAAATTGTCTACACAGTGACAAAAAAGTGACAAACTGCAAGCTTTGGATGTTTATATCGGTTTTATATTTTCTAAATGCAAATTTTGTCACTGTCTCGCAGCACACTAGCAAAGTGATATCCTTAAAACTAACAGACTTAAACTCTCATCTAAAAAACGTAATTTTAAAATTTAACATTAATTCAACTGTAAAACTTTTTAATAATTTTTTTTTATAATTTCACAAGACCTTTAAATGTTTCTTTGAAATCAATATTGTAGGTAAGTGGCTTAGGTAGGAGCAAAAATTCTCCAGAAACAGTGTTATACGCCAACTTATAACCACAGCCTACAACAAAAAAGCTCAGTATTGACCATATTTGGCATGGTCATGAATATTAATGAGCTCTGCTCTGGGCATTTTTGTTCGATCCAAATATTGTTATCATCAGCTGCGCTTCCATTTACCTATTTTTTTTTAAGGTTTAATGACAGGAGAGCAAGCTGACAAAAAGTGAAGTGGGAGAGAGGGGGGGGGTAGGATCAGGAAAGGTCCTATTTTTATGTACATTTTGGAACGTCGCATGAAAGATGCGCATATATTCTGAAAATGCCCATTAAAAATTATGCGCACAACTGAGTAGGATAAACTTTTTATCCGATAAGAAAAAATGGGCATAAACTACGATGTAAACACATTTACCGTGGTGCAGGGAAAGGCGAAAGGGTGTCGTAGATGATAGTAAGCGGGTGGGGGTGTCGCGGACGAAAGTGAAGAGTTGGGGAGTCGCAGAAGAAAGTTAAAGTGAACAGCAGACGGGGCGGAGGGCGGTTAAGGAGGGGGATCAGTAAAATGAGGATACGGATCCGGCGTGTTCAGACACAAATTAAGCCCTCTCTAAGACACAAGTAAGTTATTAGACATGTAAAAAGGCCTTCTAACGCAGCAACATCTATTTTTCTTTTGATATTTGCTGCCTGTTTATTAAGATTTTGTTCTCTTGGACTCGCTGAATGGAAACAGTGCTTTCCCCTTCGGGTGGGGAACTCCAATGCTTTTAGTGGATTTGAATTTAGAAATCCACGAATGGGAGGAAACGGGCCTGAGACCAATTGTCTCCCATTCGTAGATTTGTAAATTCAAATCCACTAATAGCATTTCCACTTCCGTAACCATAGCGATATTTGCAAATGTTTTAAGCAATATTCCAGTTTTGCAGTTTTCGGATGGTAACATGGCTATTG